GATCTCAGCCCATCACAACCTCCACCTCCCGGGTTCAAGCAATTTTCACGCCTTAGCCTCCTGACTAGCTGGGATTACGGGCGCGCAGCACCATGCCTGGCTAACTTTTGTATTTTTTGTAGAGTGGGGGTTTCACCATGTTGGCCAGGATGGTCTCGAACTTTTGACTTCAAGTGATCCGCCCACCGCAGGCTTCCAAAGTGCTGAGATTACAGGTGTGAGGTACCATGCCCCGCCTGACAACTGACTTTTAAATAAAGTATTACCTCCTCTAAATTTCACAACTATAAATAAGTAACCATCACTTGTCTAGTTTAACACATTATTAATTCGGGAAATTTTCTGTGCCCAACAAAAGTGTTTGGTTAAAGGTGAAGCGGCTTTATAAGACTAAACGCTTCTTGTGCTTTAATAAATCAGCAATATTAACAGAAGGAACTAGAATGTGGAACTTGTTTAAGAGGCCCCTTTTCTTCTAGTCAGTAGAGAAGGAAAGACATATGTTATCCAAAGCTATTATCCTGAACTTGTTCAGGACAGTGCTTGGGAAGAATGTAAAGAGAATACACCACACATGTAGTACAGCATCTTGACAGACATGAAGGGAAAAACTGTAACGGTGAGAAGAATTAGAAATAACACATATTATATTATTTTTTTTTTTTTATTGCTTTATACTTACACGCCTCAAAACTTGCAATGGCTATCCTTTTAAGAAATCCTGAATTTTTATCCTTGGGTAAATGCTGAATCTAAATCGAAGGAAGATCCATTTCTGTGAATCTGAACGCCAGCGTCTAAGTTCTTTCCACTGAAATGAATGACAGAACGCATGAGTACAAACTAAAAAATCAGGTGATATTAATCTTAAACGAAAATGTTTATAAAACAACATGTCAGACTAAGCAAGACGCCAATGGACAGCAGTTAAAAACATTGCAAGTTCCTCTATCGAGGTAAGGAGAGGATAATCAATACCACATAGTCACAATCTTGTCATAGGGGATGTGTTCTGGTACAAGGTATAGGGGTGTTAAAAATTAAACAAGATTAAATACTTGGAATGGCTTGGAGCCCAGCTGGCATTTATTTTTAAATAACATAAACAGGTACTTTCCATGTCATTTAATGTAACTTTCAAAAATATTCATTTATGTTAGAAAATAGAGGGCTGGTATGGTGGCTCATCCTGGTAATCCCCAACCACTTTGAAGAGGTCAAGCAGGCAGATCACCCCTGAGCCCAGCAAGTTTGAGACAAGCCGAGCAACCTTGGTAAAACCCCAATCTACAAAAAAATTTAGCCAGGCATGGTGGCATGTGCCTATAGTCCCAGCTTCTCAGGAGGCTGAGGGTGAAGGATCACCTGAGCCCACCAGATGTTCTGAGGCTGCAGTGAGCCGAGGACTGGCACCAAGGTACTCCAGCCCTAGCAATGGCATTGAGGACCCCTCTAGCTCAAAAAAAAAAAGAGAGCGAAAAGAGGAAAAAAAAAAAAAAGAAAATGGGGAAATGGGGCACTCCTTTGGCTTGAGGTGTCTTTATAAATGCCAAATAAAAGACATCAAAGTTTTTAAGGCAACTTTGATCAGATTAACTTTGCAAAGGAAACTTTGCTTATGGCTTTACAATTTATAATTTCACAAAATTTAATATGCACATGTATACCACAATATTTAAAAGCAATAAAATGTTCATTTATAAGGCAGATACTAACGGGCGTTACTGTTATATAATAAAATAATTACCCTACTGGATGCAAAATATGATTTCACATTTTTAGGAGATTTTCACAGATTGTCAGCAACGTATTTATTATATAAATTTCATAAACTACATATGCTTTTTTACAGAAGAAAAACTCTAGAACCAAAACTGGTAAGTAATTTACCAATTATTATCTTGGGATAGTAAGCAATTCAAGAGTCTCACTTGATAATCCTATTAATTAAAAAAAAGACAGCCATAACTAAATTATGTGACCAAAATTAATATGTGGGGAAAAACAGTTTTAAAAAAAGCAACTAACTTTACT